ATGTATGTATGTATGTATGTATGTATGTACGTATGTATGCATGCATGCATGCATGCATGCATGCACGCATGTATGCATGTATGTATGTATGTATGTATGTATGTATGTATGTATGTATGTATGTATATGTGTGTATCTGTGTGTATACACATAAAATGTGTGGTATATATCTATATACATATACATGTATAGACATGCACATGTACACATACATGTCTATACAAACAAGCTCATAAATCGCGTCCAGGTAGCGACCTGGAAGAAGCTCATGCCCTGTCCTTGCACCGTCTTCTCCAAGCCCTCAGCACATTTGATCTTGCTTCGGGTGTAGGGCTTAGGGTTAAGAAGGCTGTCCTAGGCGTATGAAGTACTGAGCCTTTGAAGCAAGTCGAAAACAAGGATGCCTTAAGTGGCGATGGCAATAGGCACGACGAAGCTTCCGAATCTTGTCCTCCCTGGGTTGAATACTCATGGTTTCGGCGCGTCACTACCAAATAAGGTTTCCGTCAATGCGAGGACAAGAGATCAACAGCGCCCGAGCAGAAACACAAAGAGGTTGAAGTGCATGGAGGCTTCAGAAGCTAGAGTCTACAGAACACGCACGTAACAGGAGAGGTAGCATCCAAGAGAGGGTCTGGAAAGCTATCAGTCCAACTCGGCTCATTTTGCCACCTTTCGAAACCTTTGCTGTTGCAAGTCCGGTGTTGGCTGGTCTCCGCTGAGGGACCAATCTATCAGGAGGAGTTTTGTGTGGGCTCGTTCGAGGCCTGTGCAACAAAAACCAAACATGTCCAGACCTTTGCTTTCTGCTGCCGGGGCGATGCTGTTGCAAACCACGTGAAACAGCCCATGTCTTTCCCCTCTTCGAGGGTGGCATAGGCGGTCCGACGGATCTAGAAAGCTGCTCATGAAGCATGAAGGTCGTGCATGGAGTCTTCTATATGTACATGCATGGAAAACATCACGTTGAACAACGGCATCCACACACACAAGGATATGCATTTGCGTGCACATACAGACACGCATGCACATATGACAAACGCATAACACATATGTATGCATATTATGCATACACGTACACACACATAAATATGTGTGCGTGTATGTATATGTATATATATATATATATTTTTATTTATTTATTTGTTTATTTATTTATTTATTTACTTATTTGTATTTATATTTATATTTATATATATACGAGTATTAATAAACATTAAGACATGTATGTATGTTATACCCATAGAAGTTACAATGCAGTGTATCACATAGACCGTATATCACATCGAGCATACGATACCATAGATCGCGGGGCCAACAGCTGGCTCAGTCGCTTGCAAACCCTAAACCCTAAACCCTAAACCCTAAACCCAAAAGCTTAGCTTTCTCGGCACAAGCCTGGAAGTCTCGCGGTGGCCCTGGCCTCACACCAAAACGCATGCTGGGCCTGGGGGGTTTAAGGGTCCAGGGTTTAGGCCTGGGCTCCTTGGTAGGGTTCCTGCAGGATTCTGAAGGTAAGGGGCTTGGTTCTGACAGGGTGCATAGGGTTGGACTTGGGGGCCTAGAAGTGCTAGAGGCCTCGAGGGTTTAGGGTTTAGACTGACGCGCTGCCGACGCCTTGGTTTTCGCACAAGCTGCCAACCGGCGCAGAGGCTGGCAATTTCGCAGAACATCAGAGTCTTTAGAGCGTCTCTACAGATGCCAGGCACCACTAAACGCCGGTGCCGTAGTCTTGAACAGGCTGAGCGGCTCTCGATTCGAGTCTTCTTGCAGGAAGCGAGGAACGGCGAATTAATAGGGAGTGGCCTACACTTCCATGCCAATTGGGAGTTTCCGAAAATAAGGGGTATCCTAGTTTGGGGTCCTTATAATCAGGATCCTACTATTCAGGGTACTATATTAGGGTCCCCTATTTTCGGAATCCCCCAATTGG